AAGAGATAGGCTTATGTACTTAATATTCTTTCGTTGTTTTAGAATATTTTAAACCTAGAAATTTGATTATAAGTTTTTTACTTTCTTAGGCCAATTGAATTATAAAAATCTCTTTTAAAGCGTGAAAAAGCTGCTTCATTAATAATTTATATCTTGTTATACCGTCACCTTTTGTCACTTCAGTCCATCATTGCCTGAATTGCTTTTAAAACCAAGTCGCAATTTATTCATACTACTTTTGTGTTTTCACGTTTAGCAATCTTTTAAAGGTTAACAATAAAATTTATGTAATATTTCATAGAACAAGTCGTCGTACGGGGCGTATGGATGCAGCAACTGAGCGAGGACCAAATTTTGAAGGGCGCATGGCCTCGTAATCACGTCTTTTTACTAACGTGACTATGTTAGTAAATTATAATATACATATATTAAATGGTTTTTTAATTTTAACTCAAGGCAAGGAAAAAAATTAACAGAAAAATTCTAGTAGCAAGCCCATATTTTTTTATTTATTTTCTGCATGATAATTAAAACAATTAGAAGAACGAGTAACAACGCTGGTAAAAGGATACGATATACTCGTACAACAATATATTGTTGTTCAAACAAACAACAACGTTATAATAGAGCTTAATTGAAAGTACTGCGCGATAGTTTATGTCACTTTAATAATACCATCCCGACAACATTACGAGTTACGACATGGAACAAGTGTTGATTATATCCAAGTAAAATTATAGTAAGGATGTTGTTACCGTGTCAAAGACCGCCTCCTTGAAGGTGACAACTTAGTGGTAATGTATCTTTATTCTGTCTAGATCATTAAAAACTAAGTTACAAATTGCCCGTTATGATTTTTTTATTACGTATTGATGCATAGAGTTGTCAATAACTGTGGTGACGCATTTTAAAGTTATTTATGTCTCTGCTGCAGCAAACTATTATATTATTAGCCACATACAAATGTATATAATAATAAATGTTATCTACATCTAAACTAAGGTAATTTAAGTGATTAATTGTTTTATGCTAATATTTAGTCAGTTATAATTATATTCCATAATTTATATGATAGTTTTTGTTTTACGTAATAATTTATCTGAATTTCTTTGATCGAGGGTGTGCAGATTTAATACATGACTAGTTAAAAAAGATAAAATTCTAAAAAAAGTGTCTTTTTCATCATAAAACAAATATTCTCTTCTTTTTAGTTTACCCATTAGCAAAATAGTAAAGTGCTAGTACCGCATTTCAAGGAAATTCATTTTAATACAACGTTCGTTTTATGTGTTTTTTTTTCCATTATTGCCATAAAATACTAAGAGGATCTCGCCCCTGCGATGTTTACCATGTGCTAATTCCTACACATGGGAGAAATAACATTAAATCGTAGTGCCGCTTCCAATGCTTTTGCACTAACGAACCGATAATTCAGGGGGAGGGCACTTTTCTTTGGATTTACATTATTTTTACGATTTTCTTTCCCTGTTTTGTAGATCGTAATATATGCGAGCCTCTATAAATTCAGTTGGAAATGGGGTTTGCGGCATCGGCTATTTTATGTTACCGAAAAAACTCCGTTTCATAATTCTGAAAAAATCTTAATGTTTTGTATCGCAATTTACTGTGCGTTACTGTTACCCTATGAATTTGCAAGTGGAATATAGAAACAAAGTTTTAAGAAAACATTGTTTGTAATAGTAGACACGACACGAATAAGACAACTAAAAACAAAATGCAAAACGAATGATTGACACTTTTCAAACACTATACAGAAACGATTTTTTTTTTATAATTGCTTATTTCATAATGCAGGCTATTCCAAATATATTTATATTTTGGCAGTCCTGCCCAATACTTCATGTATTAAGTATAAATTTATAGTAAAATATTTTATAGAGCGAACAAACACCATATGTGTGTCGCTTTTAGACAAATTTAGTGTTAACATAAACTAGTTCACTAATCCACGCTAGTAACGCCCGTAATGAATTCGGCCTTGCATTCCTTCATAGACTAATTCCCAACATAACTGTTATTATTCATCACATCATTTAGTTTTATATAACATGAAATCGCCGTCCTTGTTTTTAACAATGACGCAACGAACAACATCTTGAAGTCTGCAATGTTTTGTTGCATCAATTTGCATGACATATTATCTTGCATAGTAATCTGAGTAGATAACTTAATTAAGTGTAGGTTTCACTTAATTATTGTGAATAATTGAATGAAAGCTCTTGAAACGTATGACAACGTCTTTTTTCAAGATTATTATTTCAATTAAACCATACAAGTGGGATGTGTAAAGACGTGGGGATGTGCACCACAAGAGAGTATTGAATAGGGTGACAGAGTTCATTGGTAACTGACATGTAATCGGGAAATTCTCGCAACTATTTAGGGTGAAGATTGTTAGTGATTTTAAGGAAAATACTTAAACTTCGGAAAGTAGTAGGATTAATAGATATAATATTTGTTTTTTTTTTATGATATTAAAATTTCATGAAAAGTAAAGTTTAAAAGTTTCCATAGTGTTTATATTATTGATAATATTCATCAGAAAGGAAACATCATACTTACAAAAACTTGGACAGGATTATTTAACCTTAATAGTTGAAAAACCTGCAAGAGATGCTGCAGTATATATCGAAAGCATTGATGCTTTCGAAAGCGATACTTTATACTTGTAGAACCTTTAATATGTACCTTTTGATTGTTCTTATCCTCGTGGTTATGTTTAGGTTTAATTATTAAAAGATAACTGTTGCTTGGAGAAGTTGTGTACCAACAACGGGATGATATATTTACTACTAATTTGAGAGAAGATAGTGGGAAATTTGGGGTTGGTTGTTGGAAGTTAGTCAAATGATGGTGCAAATGACCAAACCGAACGTGTAGAGACATAATATTACCACTTCTTCTCCGTTTTTGCAGTCAGATGAAAAAGAAGGGTGTTTTAGCTTAATACAGGTTAAATTTCTTACTAAGTTATTCAGTAATAGGCGTTTTGCACTTAAAAATAAACAATGTATAAAAGATAATAGTTACGATGTATCTAGATTTATCATATGTTACCTATTTGCTGAGTACAAAATTACCCCGTTGTATTTTACTAGGCAATATTAAAACCAAAGGGAAGTTATTAAAGTAAATGAATTTTACATAATAAACATTGTTTACGCCATAAAATGAAGCTGTTGTTTATAAAACTTTAATTAACTACGGTACCTTTATGATATAAACGTAATTTTATGTGGTGTGTTAGGTAAGTACGTACTTAAAAATAACTTCATAACTATGTGCTTACGCAACTCATCAATTTTCTTTTTACTTCATTTTGTAGGTCATGATTGTTAAGAATAATTAACTCGCGTTGTTATAAACTAGATGTAATGAGTTGAAAACCTCATGATTATTAACCGTTTGGTAACTTACAAAAGATTTGACAAAAGAATCTAGTATTACTTGTATACTTTTGATCATAATGTGACAGGAGAAAAAGAATTATTGTGCGTTTATTATTCTTTTTATGGAGGTAGCGTTGATATCACAAGCTGAGCTGCTTTTGACTTTGGGTCTCGTATTTAAAGATTGTGTAGTCAAATACTGAATGCCAATAATTGTGCCATTCGCATATCTTAACCATGTTACTTATTATTACATGTAGAAATGGTTAGTTGGTACAACTTGTTACTAGCCTTTTTAATACCATAAACCTGATAAAGGTATTGACAGACAGATTAACAAAAGGACAATGAACTGTTCCTTTTTTAAGAAATGAGATCGTTAACGTTTCACATTAAATATCTATCTTTTTCGTATGTAATAAATAGTATCAAAAACTTCTTTAAGAATAAATTAACCATCTTGAAAAAAAGCGACGACCGAACGGTATTTATGCAACAGTATGTTTTTAGCGTATATCCAACGCATCCCTTCAATAGCTATAATAGTAACAACCATAATATCGTCAATGGCGTTCAATATGTTCTTTCGATGCGTCATCCCCTATAAGCCTTCGCTATTGATTACAGACGGAGACACGGGTCCGACGCAATTTTCGGCCACTCTGTCAATTTTATCTGATTAGTTGTTGTTGTGGGGATTCAATGTAATAAACGTGTCTGGTGTTGTGAAAAGTTTCTCTCATCATCTCTAGTTTTACGGTATTCAGTTTTAGTAATATTTTAAATGAAATTTAATTACAAAAAAAATATTTTTCTGATTTCATTTAATAAGTTAGTTGGCTTACACACTGAAGAATGTTATAGGTTATTTAACATCGCGCTGCTATTAATTAATGTAGTATACCACTTTCCTTTTTATTTTGAACAAGAATGCATCATACTTGGTAACTTGCGTTTACTGTAGGGCACACAACGAGCAAATGGCACAAGAAAAAAAAGTCTGTAGAGCAAGGATTTTCTTTTGATTGATCCTAGGACAGAATTTGATACACAGAGATGAGATCCAACAACACTAGGACTTGACTTTGTTTATAACAAACTTACCGAGATGGAATTTATACCCATAAAAATATTTTCCTTATATAATGACTTATGAAGAAAGTATATTAAGAAACTTAGAATCGTGTATTTTTTTTGCTACGAATATTAAACCAAGATCAAATTTCGTCGTACGAAAGACTCGACTGATCCGATAAATGAGCTTATATAAAAGTTTAATATTACGTTACGCGTGGAAAGTCCGAGATTGCGATCTTTCCTGACGACTGACTTTTGCCAAAGTTAAATAAGCTACTCCATAAGAAAACTCACTCAGTTTACTACCTTGGATATTAGCTGTTATGTGTTTCATCACGATGTAATAATTATAGATTTAGTATACAATTTCCAAAAGTAGACATCCCCTAGTAGACACCATCGAGGGTTGTGTTATTGGTAGTATTGGATATAATAGGCACGTAATTGACAAATTTTGGTAAAATCTACTTATACCGTGTAATTAAGAAATAAATTAACATAATTTTGTTACAGATTGTAAGTCGTGTTTTAAAGAAAATACTACGAGTAACAGCAGTATCAAAACATTCGACGGATTTTACGAAGATTGTTGTTGTACAGAAGATGGGTACACTGTCGACGATTTGCATTGGTTGGATCCCAACAATCACACCATAGGGTATGTATGTATATGCATGGACGAACTGTAGATTTAAATTGCTATTAACTCCCTCGTCATTCAAAACATATTACCTTTACAATAAATAGATAAGACAAAATAAATAGTGTTGAACCAAGTGGCGAGTTTTATTCATAATAGTAAAAAAATGATTATTTACGTTTTTTTTAAATTAAATTATATAAAGCTACTCACAACACATCACATCAACAGCCTTTAATAGTTCACTGCAGGACATAGGCCTCTCCTCTGAAAGGAGGTTTTGGCCTACTCTACTACGGATAATATATTCATCCCGTGGGTGTTGTGAGAGCCAACTAAGGGAGCAAATTACGCAGGACAAAAGCACTGCACAGAGAAGGAAAACTTCAAACAAACTCTATATCAAACCGTCTGGCGCGGCACAGGAAGCCAAAACCTCCTTTCTAAAGACAGGCCTGCGTCCAGCAGTGTACTATTAAAGGCTGTTGATGTGATTTATGAATACCGATTTAGGTTGTTTAGACTGTAAGACTACTTTCGACCCTTCTAATATACTCGTAAATAAGTCGATATGCTCATGTTGCAGGTTAAAACTTATCAACAAGTTTTGATTACTTAGGTATATGTATACCTTGCCTGTTGATATATTTTGAAGTTACAAACACTTAGGTGTTGTAATTAAAGATTGTTGATTGAAGTTAGTTTTTGTTTAATATGAGTTTTTATTTAATATGAGTGTAATTACCTAAAACTTATTTGATATCATTTGAATAAACACGTAAAATGAACCAGCTGATCAAGTAAGTTTTAAGTTAATCCAAATAAGATCTTGAGCATCTAATATTTAGTAAGTATAACATCTTGGTCTTGTCCTTAATAAGAAAATTGTTTTCACAAGACCAGCAGGTACAGCATCGAATGTATACATTGAAAAGCACGATGGAGACATAGAACAGCGTAACTGCCTCTCATTAATTACTCCAAGTGCAAGCAAAACAGCATCTGGCACATATAGGTGTGTAACGCAATACAAAGGAGTTTCATATTTACAAACACATCACATAGATATATACGGTAAGAAATGTATTGTGTATATGAGCCTGAATATAATTTACTAGCTTAGCTTCCTCACCATTGCTCACACTAGTGCGTACAATCTCTTACATAAATACTCTATCCAATACAAAAAAAAGACGCAAAATATACTGGTAGCTTATATATTAATAAAGATAGCTAACCTAAAGGATAGAAATAAAAAAATCTTTATTAAAACTAAACTAGTTTTGTTTGCTTACATTTAGTTGCAGAAGTTATTTTTTTTATAAAAGACCCTAACTAGTCTGAGTATCTTCCTAATTTTCTCTGATGTCGTACGCCGAAACATTGCATGCCTTCATGTTTCTTCGCAACACCTCTGTCCATGTTGTATTGGGTTTTCCTCTCACACTCAGCACGCTCTGTGCTCCGGGAACGGATTGTTCTAGTGCCTGTTTCCCAACACAATCAGGTGGTGTCCTCCTGACATGTCCATCCCTCATCCTACTCTCTAGCAGCTTCTCCGCAATGTCCTATTTTAATATTCATAATTACTCATGATATCAACGTGAAAGAATAAAAATTTATGTAAATGGTATGAGAAAAAGCGGACAAAACAGATCCCTTACTGTTTACTCTTTACTGAATTCACTTTATATTAATGGAATAAATAAATAATACAGCGAAAATTTCTAGATATCGAAGTAAAGTACAGAAATACAGAAGCAACAGAAAACTATTTAGACTTTGAACTTAAAAGCTATCTGCTCAAATTTATTAACTTCTTTAAACAAGTTCTAAGAAAAACCAAAAACTGTTTTCTATATTTTATATTCGCCTGTTATGATAGTGATTTGTAATTCCCCAGATCCCTTATATTTTTTTAACAAGTTACCAAGTCAGTATTTGGTACAGAATGTAAACTCTAAAGTCTACTGTAAAGCAAGAGGAGCGGCTCCACCCATCTACCGATGGTACCGGGATAAGGATGGACAAGAAGAGGTATGAAATTTAGACTGAATATAATTAAATCTGTTAAAGACGGAAATCAGTAAAAATCCTCGAATAAGTTATAAAAATTCATACCAAAGAGCCAACTAAATTTCGTAGGCCCGGAGGTCTCTGACCTTCGGTCGCCTAAGACCGACGCGAGTCCGCCGCCGGTGGCGTACGCCGTCGACCGCATGCGAGTGGCTTCTCTGGACGCAGACGCTAGCGTCTCGTAGTCGGGATTGTGATTTCGAATCGTGTTTGTACTCGGAGCAAAATGAACGAAAATAAATTAACATTATTTAGAGAAGAAGTGGCAGATGAACTTCTGATATTATCAAAGAAAATAAAAAAACTAATTCAATGTTCACAAAATCACCGACCCACATAAATTGTTGTTTGATACATCGAACAAGACCGACCGACCGACCGACGCGTGCGGCATGCGACCTTGTACGCTCGCACTGTCCACTGCCACAACTACATTAGAAATTTTAATTATCATTCAAATTGACACCAATGTTAACCAAGAAAAACGATTTAAATAACCTCAAAGCAATCCAAAAGTGCATAATGTGGAGAAATTTTAACTGTTATTTACAGATATTTGACGATTCAGTAAAATATCAATTTGTTGCTGATGGACTGATCGTGAAAAACGTTACAAATGAAGATGCTGGCATTTATAAGTGTACGGCGTCAATACCATCGACGGGTGAAGAAGATGAACTTGATATTGAAGTACAGGTAATTTGCGGTGTAAACTACCTACGTGAAATCTATTAAAAAAACGTTATACTATTTAAGTCGACAAATAAGGCTCACCTGGTAAGTTATGCTATACATGCTGTCGATAACACAGAGTTGTGTTTATAAGGAGGTGAGTAAAGTATTAGGATCATAACACAATTCAAGTTCACAATGAGTGTTTACAATTTTACACTAGTTTTCTTAAAGAAGTATACTTGAGAAATTAGTATTTTTTTCCTTTCAATTTTAAATGTACAACATAACATTAAAATACAAAACATAATTTTAATAAAAATAACACAAATGTTTTCCTCTCTTAGATAATGACACCGCCAGTAATTCAAAAATTATTGGCATCACCAGAAGATACAGTGATAGAAGGAGAGTCTCTTATTATAGAGTGCATAGCTGAAGGTTTCCCAATTCCTAAATATAATTGGCGTAAAGTTCCAAATAACGTAAGTAATTTTCAAAGGTACATAGAAACACCACTAGATACTTTATACGTAAGTCAATGAAGGTAAAATAAATATTAGATCTGCAATTATTTTTTATCGTTTTTTTTTAATAAAACTTAAAAAGTATGTAAAATGAAATAGTCACCAATATTTGTCCAGAGTTGGAGGAAAGGTTAGGGTTACTTATACATGTATCTAGCTATAATTCTGGTTACGGAACGAGGACAGTTTATTAAAACATGCAGAGGCACAAGGGTAGTCAGACAGGTAGTTTTCCTCTAAATACATTATATTTAATAATTATCTTGATTTTTAGAAGTTGGGCGATGAAAATAAAAATTCAACATGGCAGCAAAACAATAGTATAATTCGCTTCCATAGTGTCAAGTCCGAAGATGCGGGTGTGTATCAGTGCAACGCTAACAATTATGCAGGGAACACTACTGAATACATTGAAATTAAGGTAATAACAAATGTTATTAAAATGACTTATTATATTAATTTTAATTTTTTTTTCATTTCCTTTACACAAATAGTAGGAATAATTAAAATTACTTTTTGCCTAGTAGCCTGGTCTACTGGTTAGCGGTCAAGACTGCTAAGCTAGCGGTCGTGGATTCCATTCCCACCCAGGACAAACACTGTGTGTTTTGTTTCTTGTCTGATTGTAATTTACTATAATCTATTTAGTATTTAATTAGAAGTACGTTTATCATGTTTATCAGCTTTTTAGTTTGGGCTCAAATGGCCGTGTGTAAGATAATAATGTCTAGTTATTCTTTATTTATTATTATTAACAGTAATATAGTTAATTATCCTCAAGAGTATAGGCCTTCCCGACAGTTTCCGAATATTTCTTGTCTTTGCTTTTTTGTCAAGTAAAAAGTCTTGCAGTCTTGATATACTTTTTGAATTAATTTATTTTTAATTAAATATTACATTAAATACTAGGTATAATGCTCTTTTTAAGTACACTTCTATGTATCTGTAATTTGAAAATGGCTGAGTATTATTTTAGTCTTATTACTCAAAAGTTTATTTTTTACAAAATTCAGTAAAATAACGAGTCGTATGTTTGCTGTACTTGAATTTTTAGGTGTTAGTACCACCTGAAATTACATCATTTCAAAATAAAACAGCAGAAGAAGGGACAGATATATCCATATACTGTACAGCGACTGGTAACCCAACACCAAATGTTACCATAACATATGCAGGAAGGGGCTATGATGAAGAAAAGTAAGTAAATCATATCTTCTTCATTCAAATGTAATGGAATCGAAAACCTCCTTCAGTCAGTCAGTTAAAAATTTAAATACTGAAACAAATGTACTTAAGTCTGACAATATTTACTATTTTTAGGGTTCCGTACCTCAAAAGGTAAAAAAGGAACCCTTATAAGATCACTTTCTTGTCCGTCTGTCCGTGTGTCACCACCGATTTTCTCAGGAACGGATAGACCTAGAAAGTTGAAATTTTTACCAGATACTGAGGTCTATGGTCCCTATTAGATGTATAAAAATCAAGGTCCTGAGTCAACACGATAAATAGATATGGGCAAATTTCGATTTTCGCGAAAACTTGTAAGTACTAAAACTATTTACTTGTGCTTGCTTTTAACCAAAATTGACAATTCTAGGTCAACCGGAAGTACCCTATAGGTTTTGGGTCGAAAACCTATATGGTAGTTCGCGTTGACCTAGAATCACGAAATTTGGCAAAAAGTAACGTTTTACAGCACAAATAAAGCAATAGTTCCAAAAAATAAAAAAAACTTGAAAATTAAGATAAATTTTGGTACTTACAAACTTGGTACATTTTCGCGAAAATCTACGTAAAATCTGGGTAGGTACCGGTTTTTTTTTATTGGTAAATCACTTCAATATAATTAATTCAATTTCACTTTATTTAACGTCAAAAGAATCAAAAAGCACCTGAAGCTGCTGTCATTCAATCATTTATTTACTTTTTGTGTTGCGTTTGACACTTAATTACTACCTTTTTTCCGTGCGGAAATCCCCTCGGATACCACCGGTAGCATGTCGGACTCGAACCGACTAAAACCGCACGCCGTCTCGGGTACTAATAGCCGAGGAACCAGGTATACCCTAGAAAGGAAGTCCCTGGTGCCCCGACATACCTCTCGGCATACAGACGAGTAGACGACCCCCCCCCCCCGTGTGGGAACCCCATGTTCCCTCTGCTCCCTGGAAGCGAGCGCGCTTCGCAACGCGCTCGCCGCCACCCCGGCCTGCTTCTGCTAGGGTGACAGATGGCCTCACCTGTCACCCCAGGCCTGCGCTTATGGAGGACGGAGGTCGTTCTGCGATCTCCGGCGCCTGAGTCGCCTGCGGTACCTAGCCCGTTCCCGGGCCTGACGGGCCGGGAGAGTTCTAAACCTCTCCCGGTCCCGCTCCGCCGTCTCCTTCGCGAGCATAACTTGCTCGCAGAAGGAGACGGCAGAGTTCCACGCACTCTCGCTCCGCACGATAGCCGCAATCAGCCTATCGAGCGAGAGAACTCCCACTCCGATGGCCACCACGAGGTCTCGCCTCTGCTCAACCCACGCCGGGCACTCTGTCAGCGTATGGAGAGCCGTGTCCACGGTCTGGCAATTGCAGTGGTGGCACTCAGGCGTTGGCTCCTTGCGGATCAGACACAGGTGATCCCCGAAACATCCTTTCTTAGTGATCACCTGCGTCAGTCGGTGTGAGAGAGTCCCGTGACGCCTCTCGAGCCAATCCTCCATAACGGGTCTTACCGCCGCGATGACGGCGTGCCCGACTTAATTACTACCCTAATAAAATTAATGAATTTCATAATATTTATTGTTTGGTTGTTCTAGTCATGTCTTTTGTGTGCTTGGTTTCAGAAATACAACTTTGGATCAATATATTGACAATTACGCGTTGCACAAAGTGGACAGAACTAAAGGAGGCATCTACATCTGTAACGCAACTAATACAGGTATTTATTTACTTGTAATGGTGAATGACATAATCTTAAAATAACTAAAAATAAAAATAAATTTTATTTGCAGAATAAGATCTAGGAATGTATATGATTTTCATTTTGTTTTAAAAAAAAAGCGTAATAGTAAAGCTAACATAAAACTAGTATATGACTATTCTAAAATGTGCAAAAGTGCGGCAGCTATAAAAGAAGTGTAATTATAAGATTACAAATTCTTTTTGCAATCGGCCTGAGCTAGCTGTAAATAGGTACCCAATAAGAATAATATAGTGTATATTATTTAAATATAATATTATACTTAATAAATTAATGTAAGGCAAACTTTAGAGCGACTTGGTAATTACAGTAAATTGCACGAATGGCGTAGTGGTTTAAGCGGCCGCCACGAAGCTTACTACTACGCCGAGTGTTGTGGGTTCAAACCCCACATGGAACGAAACTTTGTGTATCCACAAATTGTTGTTCTGATTCTGGGTGTTCTTTGTGTCCGTTTCATGTATGTTTGTAAAGTCCCCTGCGACACAGGATATATTATTCCTAATGCCTTTTTTTTAAAGAAGTTCCCTTTAAAAATACAAAAATAGGTTATCTCAGGTTTCGATATGTTATGTTTACCTGTATTTTTTTTTAATAAATAGTGAGTATTTCTCAGCGTTACTAACGATACGTCCTTGTTTTCTCATATTAATCGTTCGTAATCGATCATCGAAATCGTTTCTTGTTTTTTAGTTATTTAGGGTTTCTATTGGGGATCTATTTATTTAGGGAAGTAAAGCGATTGGTTATGGTATAGCTGGTAGAAGTTTGAACTGTGTAATGTTTCAATAAAGCTAAACTACGAGCCGAGGTCATATTGTGAGTACCACAAAGAGGTAGAATATTTTTCAACCCTTATGTTCAAGGTTTTTGTTTGTACACACAACATTAACGGAGAAATTGTTCCAAATCCATTTTATTTCAGAGACATCTCGCGTTTGTATCGGAAAGATCTCCTGCGACCCACCAACTGCAGCATTAATCTTAAACCTGGTGTGCGCTGTCTGTATTAGACACTTCTTTTACACAAAATCCATCGTTCCTATTTGTTTTCTCATGAAAATCAACGAAAGTTTAAGTTAACACAGTGGCTTCTATCTATGAATCTTTCTTACAGTGGACTCCGTGATGGAAATAATGTACTTGACTGTGTTGCATAAACCGTACTTTGATGCAGAAGAAGAATACGTGTGGGGCTGGGTCGGAGAGACTGTAGAATTGAACTGTGAGGTTGAGGCAAACCCACCGTCTAACTTTACTTGGAAGTATGTTATAACTCTAGATTGACTAGTTAAAAATAAATAATTAATACGTAAATGTTTCAAAGATACTGTATAATATTGTAGGTGTCCCTAATACCTAAAAATATTAGTTAAAGAACTAACTAACTATTAACTTATGTTTGAGCTAATCTGGGTGTTTATACGTAAAGAAAAAAAATTATAACCCTTATTAAACAAATGCAAAATGGAAATAATTAATTTTTAGAAACTTAATGTTTATATATGTAAAAGAAGTGTAGAAAGCTAAATTGATTAAAAAAATTGTATACAAAACAAAAAGCTAAATTAGAATAGAACTATACTAGATCAGAATATATTTTGTTTTGTACAAAAGTCTATACAACTTCAATTTATACTGGTTGCTGTAATAAGAAAAAAAAGACATTCAAAATGGTCGACCATGGATTAATTAACTTTCTAATGCAAAAACTTTCAAACAATCAAACTTTAAATCAATCCATCTTTCTGTAAAGCGTTTAAATTTTTTTTTTTTTTAATGACAAAAGTCAACTACTTTGAGTTGACAAATACAATTCACTGGTATTATTTTAATATTGTGTGACTATACGTCATTTCAACAGGTATGAGAAAAATGAAGAGGCAATAGCTGATGCAACAAAAGTGATGGAAGAGTTAAATAGCATAGAAGTAAAATCTTCGCAAAAATATACATTTAATATAACAAAGGATTTTGCACCTTATGGCGATTTTGAATGTATATCATTTAATTATTTAGGTGAAGGTTATAAGCTCATTGATTTACAAAAAGGAACAGTACCTTCAGTCGTTGTTTACGTAAGTAAAAATTGATTTAGTGATTCTAAATCGATATACACGTCACGATTTACGTCTGTAGTATTATAATTCCCAACGGGTGGACTAAAAATCTGTTTAGCCAATCGATAATCATCATCCCTTATCTAATGATTTTCGAATTAGGAGTTGTTTAATTTATATTTGAAACAGTAATCAAAGTAGGGACTTGTTTGATTATAATAAAAGTATTATGAGTTAAAATCGCAAGCTAAGAAGCAAAGAAAATCGATTGAATAAAATTAAAACTTATTAAAACATTTACAGTCAAGGATAAAGAAAAACTTCAGTATTCCACTTTCCACAATTTAAAATTCTAAGGTCATTCGAACAGATATGTTCGAATGACCTTAGAATTTTAAATTCTGCCTATACCGACTTCAAGTTAAATATTAAGACGCCAAGTAGCTATATAAGACATACGCAAAGATAATTTGAATAACAAATATATTCTTTTATTGGTAGTCAATTTCAAGTCTATTCAAGTGGATGAGATATATTTTCATCTTTATTTATTTATTTCTTTAGATGCAAAATTTCATTGTTCATTTCATTTTGAATAATTCACGATTATGAGTATAGAGGTTTATTTTTAGGTTTTTAACGGAGTTTTTACCGGTTTCGGCGGAGTTCCAGCCTCCCCCGCCCCCACTCCCCACTCACTAATTCTAGGAGGAAGGCTCTCAAAGGGGTCAACGCACTTGTCTTTTGAGTTGTACGTGTCCATAGGCGGCGGTATTCACTTACCATCAGGTGACCCGTCTGCTCGTTTGGCCACTTTGAGACACCTGGACATTTTGCGAATTGGATATTCTGCGACCGAACCATCTGTGGACGAACTGGTGTCATAACCCTTCAACACAAAGGGAGGAATCCTTTGACTAGGAGAGGTGATCATGCCTGGCGGGCCGCGGCCCAGCGGTTGATGTTGGGAAGTTGTATATATGCTAATCGCCGTGAGAATTGTTTGTATCGCGATATAGGATTAGGTATTCTCATACAGGAGTTACTCCGTAGCTCGGCGTGTCTTTCGTTAGTAGCCGCTGTAGTACGTTTCCGTTTCTTTGTATGTGGGAGTCGCCACAGATCCAAAAAAAAATTATAAAATTGTTATTTTATAATACCCGTTTATTTTGCTTTTTAGGCCGATCTAGAAAATGTTACAGCAACATCAGCAACATTTACCATAGAACCTCCTTTGGAATACAAAGGACCTGAAGCATTAGGGATTAAAGCTGAATACGACATCGCTGAAAATTTTAATGTAACTGATATTCACCGCAACAGAACTTGGGCAATTGGAAGGCCCTTTAAATTGGACAAACTCAGACCTAATTCTACTTACTACGTTAAATTTGCTGCTATTAACAGAGTTGGCACTGGACCGTGGGGCAATAGAACAGAATTTAAAACTTTGGACAAGTAAGGAATACTATTAATAACCTCACACATTTGACACACAGCCGTCTGATCCCAAACTTAGGCAGTGCTTGTACTATGGTAACCAGACTGCTGATGAACATACTTTTATATTTTTAAATACATACTTAGATATTGTGCACAAATTACATCATGCTCATCATGCATGCAAAATTAAGTACAAAGATAAGTTATAGTCTAGAATGGCATTTAGGAATACATTATAGTATTATGAAGAGACGAAATCAAAAGCCACTGAAATAACTAGTGTTGGTAATGTAGAAATCGGAATACAATAAAGAAAAAATATATAGAACCCATTTTTAGCTATTAGAGCTACACAATATAACGGAGTCGTGTATTTATTATAATGTTTAGTTAAATAAAAAACTAATAAAGTAGCCCAAAACTACCGCATATTTCAATGAACTGTAATAAGGCATCTATAAAAAAAAACCGCACAGTCATTATTAATGTTTGCCGACTGTTAACGAGTGTAAATCTCACATACTCATTGCTAGTTGACTTGATTTATTAGTTCGATTTTTGTATAATTTGGTAGGTTTTTATTCGTAATTCTTATTAAGTTAAATATAATTTGGTATGGTATTAAAATGTATATAGATTATAATTCTTGAAGAGGTCTTTAATCATTGAATCTATTTAGCTTTGTAATTTTTAAATTGGGACCTTTTCAGTGATAATTCGATTTTTTGTGATGTAAAAATAATAAAGATTGTCATTTTTTGATTGCATTGTATGATCTGAACACTCGTTTACAATTTAAAGACTAATGTGTAGTATTTAACTGGATTGGTGGCAGCTATTTGAAATAAGTATTCCGTCAGCTCAGCAAAACTCAACAATAGATCAAATATACACAGGTTTCCACTGTCCATAAAACTAATTTAACAAAACATATTTGCAGTCACGTGATCGGTTCAAATTACGTCATTGTTTAATCCATTCAGTAGATACAACAAATAGACATGTAGATAGTAAATCACTCATAAGTGTTATACATATGATGTCATAATAATTTGTATTATAATGTTTAAAATACGTGTTGCTAAACATGTGCTTTGAGAATCCTTATATTTTACAACAAAGCTAATCATAGTAGATAATGTTATTTAATTCTGAACCTATGCTGGACACAGTCATCATATGTTTGTAGGTCAGCTCCAGAGCCTCCGATATGGCAAGTGGATTCGGCCGAGTTGCCGCCAAGTAACGTGCTCAAGTGGAAAGCGCCCGAAGATAACGGCGAACCGATCGACTACTACGCGCTGCGGTACTGCCCGGTAGGTACATTTTGACATATTATAGTGTGACGTCATTAGAAACGCTCGTTACATGTAGCTAAGATATCGAGATATGTAATTTGATTTATTTAGAATGTTTTCTGGCTTTTGCGGTAGTGAATTTATTTAACACGGTGCTCGCTTTTGTCCAGGCGAGGACTGCAAGAGGCTGATTTCTTGATCACTGTAAAAACATGTAGCTTTCACGTGACTAACTAAGCTCAACATGTCTAGAAGTAATTTACCTCGATGTTTTTTCTTTTACTAGATAAAATTACCTTTAAATATTATATTTGTGTACACTAATTGCATTTTTGTATAACATATAATTATAATTTAACAATTTTAAAGCCAGTTTAATGCACAATAAGTGCATTAAACTGGCTTTAACATTGTTCACCGAGTTTAAAGTGTTTTTGGTAACTCTTAATTCCCACACATATCAGCTTACACTATTCGTATTGCGCAGTTCCACTACTGACAGTGGTACCAATTTTAAAAATAAATAAGACCAAAATATATGTTTAACAATTTGATATTCTAAAACCATTAATTATTAGGTAGCGAATGATAGCGAGGAATCATTATGCAAAGAGCAACGCATTGAGGAGGCAACTGAACAAGAACTGAGTGATCTTCTGTCCAACACTACTTATTACTTTGAACTGACTGCACACAATGCTGTTGGGAATTCCAGCATTGCAAATATTACACTTATTATACCAGGTATATTGCTTTCACTTAAATACATAAGTAGTATAGTGGGTATCTAGTAAGAAAGAGATTAGGCGCATCTTTGAAATTCGTTTTTATGTATTCTAAATAGGATCTTCTTAACATTAAAATACTTACGTAATGTTCTTAGGTTCATCTTTCGTCGAGGTGTACAAATATTTATTTTAATTAAGTACATATTATTTAATTTACAACATCTTTGACATTGTACAATGTACATCTTTAAAAGGAAAGCGTGCAATAAGAGCGAATTGAACTTCGAAGTATCGTGTCGCTTTACTTGAAGCGATTGACAACTGATATACTCTTACATTTTACTCTATTTTGGGGTTTAGGAGTTCATTACAGGCTCATTCTTGATCTTTGGAACATAATTAACAAATATTTTTAAACGGGACTGATGGGCCATGAGATCGCGTTGTACTTTGCACGTTGATCTCAGCAGCTAGTCAACTACAATTTATATCATGAGTCTTTTTTTTAAGGTAGGTTAGATTCATAAACCACATCTGAATAAAACTAGTTGTCGTGTGTCTAGTCGTGTAATCAAAATCGACGCGACATTAATTACAAAAAAAAAACAATGAAATCCATGAACTGTAATTTTAGTGGGAAATGAGAAGAGGGACGAAACTTCTTTTCGTATCTAACCAGCTGACAATAACTCTTTTGAACTGTAAGATTTTTTTGATGAATATGATGTAATATTGAAAACTAATACAACGTTAATTATTTTAGCTCCTGATATGCTTGTTGCTGAACCACTTTTATCAATGGGCGCCATTATAGGCATATCAATAGTTTTAGTATTTCTATGCCTAATACTATTGGATCTGCTGTTTCTAATCTGGAGGCGACAAGGCGTTATCGCCAGTTGTTGCTACAGGAAGAGTAAGAAGAAGCCAAATCCTTTACACACTCGGTGAGATATCATTATCTAACTGCATTGTAGATACTAATTCATTCTCAGCTTTGCTTAACTAATTTTTTTTTTTTAAAGAATGGGGTAAATTTGTTTCTAGCTTTATGTAGGTACCCTGGTAGTAAATTATTGTATACTAGCTATTGCGCGTGGCTCCGCCCGCGTATATGTCGGTTATCGCGGTAAATCATAATCTCCGTCTTTCCTCCAGAATCAAAGTATCTCTATAGCAAATTTCATTAAAATCGCTTCAGCGGTTTAGTAGTGTAATCATTACAGACAGACAGAGAGATTTACTTTCGCATTTATAATATTAGTAGTATTTTTTTAACTTACACATAGGTATTTTCTTTATAAATAATACTTGATCACCGACGTGGTGATCAAGTATTCGTTAAATTATAACTGGTAATAATAACGGTGAATGGTTAATTTTTCGATTTTATTTTAAATTTATTTTAATAGTAATATAAATAATAAGGTTGAACTGACTCAGTCAATGTTTAAAATGCCATTAATTCATAACTTATATTTTAACATTTTAATAATTTCATGATGGGGCAAAGTCCAAGAAGATTAAGTGTGCAATTTTACAGAAAAAATTGAAACCTTTTTGTCTGACACCAATACCAAAACTTAAAAAAAATTGTGACTGCTTTTACTATTTAACTGATAATATATATTGATAATAAATATATATCGATAATAAATATTGATTTAATAAACATGAGGATGAGGAGACACTTATTGCTACAAAACTGTAATTTAAACACTGTTTTATAACACACTGTGATTATAAACACAGAGGAAAAAAGTTACCAATGTACTGAGACAGCAGATCATTCTGTATCAAATCCTATTGATTTTTCAGTGACAAGAAAGGTCTGTTGAAAGACAACAGGGAAAGTACAGACGAAACTTTGAGGAGGCCCAACAATGGGCACAGAGAGTATGAATACAATAAGACTACCGGCATTATTACTGGAAAACATTCTTCAGTATAAAATGGAGAATATCAAAGGCTTAGGTATCCGTGGTATGTAAGACAAGGTTTTGTGATGTCTTTGTCACTGTCCTTGGATGTTTCTTTTAAAGAGACCGTTTAACCCGAAATCCTTTCTACAAGGAAAATAAAGGACAGGTACTTTATTAAATGCGTGTGGGTAGGGTTTCAGAAATTAAGAAAAAAAACATTCGGTTAACACAATCTTAGGGCTCGTGCAGCGTGCAAGCGATGTCGCGCGAACTCGGTCGCGCCGACTCGCGGCGACTTGATAGAACATACAGAACTAAACGGCTCAGTGCAGCGTGCCCGCGACTGACGACCACTGGTGGCGAGACTTGCAGCGACCAGTCACTAGAGGTAGATTGCAACTGCGCAGTACAGAAAACAACTTTTTTGTTTTCTATTTTATCATAATAATGGATGCAGGAGACTTAATAGATGCAGTTTGTAACCACCCGTAAATTTTCTCCTTTTCATCCTATTGATGGCACGAAACTACGGATTCGTGCCATCAACCATCAATCTACCTCTGGTGACTGGTCGCTGCAAGTCTAGCGACCACTGGTCGTCAGTCGCGGGCACGCTGCACTGAGCCGTTTAGTTCTATATGTTCTATCAAGTCGCCGCGAGTCGGCGCGACCGAGGTCGCGCGACATCGCTTGCACGCTGCACGAGCCCTTATTCGTTAGTAAAGTGATATCGAATATTTGTACAATAGATTATTTATAAGTTCAATAAGATCAGAAACTAATATCTGTAGTCCCCAATTTCTGAAAATAATTCTAGAAACAGTGAAAATTATGAAACTGGTAAATAACAAGCTTGTAGTTATTATAGCAAAAATGAAGAAAAGTGCCTTTGAACAAATGTTTGATTATCTGGTGTGATTGTACTTTTCGCTTTTTGACTATTCAATTAGTTAGTGTGTAAGCTCGCTTAACTCATTTCTATCAAAACATACTAACAGTTAATTCGTTTGTAAATTTATAAAATATAATTAAAATTCTTCATGTTATTACTACAAAATATAAAAAATATATATATATATATATATAAAACAATTTTTTTTGTCATGTTATTGAAATCATTAATATAAATATTGTATTGTAGGCCAAAACCTCCTTTCTAAGGAGAGGCCTATGTCCAGCAGTGGACTATTAAAGGCTGTTGATGTGCTATATTTATTGTGGAAATAAACAATCTAACATACGTTCTAGTACCGCAATGCCTGTATATATTCTGATTTTTAGAAGTACAAAATTATAGCGTGCCCTTGATAAGTCGATAATATGCTGCCTTAATTAAAATGTTTTAAATAGGTAAAATAAGTGGTAAGATTAAGATAATTTTATTAAAAAAAGCAACACTACCAAAAGTTACTAACTGTTGTTGCTTAATTCTTTATAAACTTATTTTGGTGTATGTATAATAATTCGATTTCGAATACAAAATAACTGTGACTGCAATTTTAATGATTTAAATGACATATTATTTATTGTTTTTAATGAATTTGTGTCATTATATGTACCATTTAATGTAATAACAGTAGTTACCATAATTAGGATTACAAAAGTAATGCACTATTTTACAAAATTCAAAAAACTAAAACATGGATTTATTAATTTAACATTAATTTGTATAAACATAAACGAATTATTTAACTAAAATTCTTAGGCCTTAGTGCATGTACAACTAGTTGATAAAGTATTTATCTAATTAAGATACCCTAAATAGCTTTATTGTTATATTTTCAAAATTTTAGTGTTGTATATTTTTTGATGTTTCCTATCCTTACGATTATATGAATATATTTACTAATACTTACTAATAAACATAATACTTACTAAGGAAACATTTTAAATAACCTATTTCATAGAAAGAATCCTTAAAACACGACAACGCGATGCCACGTGTTTAGTTCCAATGATAGTTCATAAATTATACTAAAGTATATAATATTAAATACACTTAAGAGCAATGAATGCAAGCTATCTGGACATTATTATATTATATTATACATACATACATACTTAATACCATATCTCATTTTAAAACAAAATATAAAACACCATTTGTCTACAACTCCCTCAAATTTATTTAATCATAGACGCAGTGATGGCAGCTACTAGTACAATAGCTTACCCAAAATGTTAACACTATGTTGGAGAGTATTCTGATATTCTTCTTTCAGTGCAATTTTGAGCTCCCAGCGCGTTTTCTAGGAAGAGTTTCAGCGTATCACGCATCGTCTGGGCTCCTTCTAAGCATGCTCGATCGGTCTGAGAGAGTCCGGAGTGCTTGCTGGCAAATCAGACATTCACAATCCAACCTGGATTCATTGCTGTCCAGTGTATTTGCATCAAATAATACTTACGAGTCATTATTAAACGACCAATGTGAATAATCACAATAGGGACGTAACAGAGAAAGAAGATTATAATTGAATATGTTTAATTTCCGTTGATACCAAAGATTAAGTCGTAATAGTTACAAGTTTATTATTGTATTTTTGAATTTCATTAAAGTTTATATAAAATGATTGTGTTGTCTTTTATTTTTCTTCTCTTGTTTAGCAAACACTATTCCAGGTTTAATGAAATTTTAAAAGGAGTCAGTCTCGTCCCACTTACGCGTGACTTTGCATTAATTTTCGTACGTTTAGACTATAGCATCTACATAATGAGAATATAATATTTAATTTTGTTTTTACTTCGTAACGAAAAAAGTTTTTTGGAAGATTTGGAAATGCCACATAAAGCGCCAATTTAACTCCACGTTCCTAAATAATCCATCCGTTTATTTCATGGACCAATCTTTAGTTCGACTCGACAGTGAATCATTCTGAATACATAATGAATTCGATTTCAAAGCTACATCGCGCACCTGTTATTGAAAATTAATACTTCAGAGGAAGGGAATGGGTAACAAAGAGTTGCAAGTCATAAACATACTGATGTTTAGTAAAAAGTAAATTCTTTATTTACTTGTACACTATTGTGACAACATTTTATAGAACACTACCTAAATTTATCATATAGGAGCACCTTTTTAAATCGCGATTTAAAAAATTTAAACCGCAATTAATTTTAATTTGAGTAAAATTTATCGAAAAAACATAACATACTAATTTAAAGGGAGGGAGCATAATACTGTAAAAATCTATGACTTCTATTTTTTTTTCGTTGGCAACCAATTAATGATTGTTGAAAGTAGTTTATAAATTACGAAAAAAATTATACTCTCTAGAATAGAAAATAGAGACACTAATTTGACATTTTTAGTATTCCATAGTATCGAAATAGGAGAAATGAACAAAATCAGACACTCATATTACGTTTCTAATTGTAGCCTTAAGCGACTAAGGGCAGCGTCAGTACCTCAGTTTTTTTATCTGTAATGTAATGTAAGTCGCTGGGGAATTTTTATACCATTCAATACAAGTAGACCTACAAGCCCACGGCATTTCTGATTGTAATCTGTCTTCGTAGGCTAGGCATCTCCCAAAAGCAACTTTATTCAAATTTTGTAAGTATAATTCCTAGCACGAAGTGTAGTTTGCCTTAATATTAGTTTTTGATCTTAGTTTTTTGTACATTAAATAAATGCAAGGCAGTAGGTATATACTCTACTTTTGCTCGCGTTTGTAACTTGCTGCTTTATTTGCACCTGCATCACCGATATTAAACGATTGGACTGTGAAGCAGACGAGTGTGGTAATGAAATATTACTGTTATTTTATTTTATATAACTACCAGCCCTAATATATGACCATCTACAGATAGCTGCTCTAACTTCTAGGAGCGGTGCTTTTTGTATTAATTTTAATTTATTATTAAGGACATGTTATATTTCCTAGAATTAAACGTACACTTGTTAACCGTATAGTATGTTGTAGATAGTAGCAGAAAATGGTAGAACGTAGGTAAAATGTAAAAAGAAAAAAATTAATAATAAAAATTAATTAATTATTATTAATCAAAATTATACTAAGAGATTACGAAAATTATGAAAATGTAACAATCTCTTCGGATAAAACATACACCTATGTACGAGCATACAGGAATATATTTGTGCTGTTTAACATTTTGTGATTTAACAATTACGTTTTACTATTTTCATATATTACACACAATAATATTTTTCTTTTTATTAAGGGATTACTTTTCAAGAGATAAATAAAAAAATAACACGACATCTGCCTAGTGATCATAATTTAAATAACAAATCCACTATATTCGACGTTTCCATGTAATTTTTTATAGGTTGTACAAATGTTGCTAAGTAATAAATAAGATCTTAAAGTTGTATTGTAGTTACACATAATTTTTATGACTACTCTGAACCTGTAGATATAACAAAACGAACAACGGGGGTAGGTATTGATGCAACTGCCAGTTCCCACATACAAGAGGCTATTTTGGCGAATTTATAGGCTTTCTAACTGAACAGCAACCCCTCAGGTGTCAATAATAGCTTTATGGTAACATTTTCACGTGCAAACCGTAAAACATTAACCATTATTGTGTCTGCTACAGGCTGCAGGAGTAACGATACATCTATCTTAGTTTGGTACATTATAAAATGTTCTGTCTCGTAGAATTCATACACGTGTATTTATTGAGATTTAAATACACATAGATTGAGATTCATTGACAGTAAAATTCATTCAATTTGGATAGCTAAAGTAAAGGGGCATGTCACTAAAAATAATAAAACATTCAAAATGAATGAAGTACGAAGCCTTTTTGAAGAAGGGCTTCGTCAAGTGACCCCGAAGCAGTGGAAAAACTGTGTAGTCCATGTAATTAAAATTGAAGATCAAATGTGTCATCTGGGCCATATAACCGACGACATTACTGATAGGTTTATCATAGAAGTAGGTGGCGATTCTGATGACTCATAATATTCCTCAGACATGGAGTCATTATCTGAATCAGATTAACGCGAATACCTGTAATTAAGTTATTTAATTAAAAATATATGTTTTACATTATTAAT